CACCCATACACAAACACACACACACACACACATACACACACACACACACACACATACACGAATACACAAACTCACATTAATGTGTTTTATTCGAGCAAAGAAGCGCCTTAGTGACATTGTCAGGAATCTACAACACACATCATTGCTACACGCAAACAATAAACACCTCATTGGTAAACAATGAAACGTCACAAATTGGTAGCAATGCACACCGCCAATTGTAAAAAAAAAGTTTTCAGGCATAACAAAAACAATTTGATACATTTATTATACAGCATTACATCGCATAAAACGATCTTGCTGCCAAAAATCACTTATAATCAAACATTTTTCTGTTACTCTTTAACAACTCTGACGCATTGATAAATAAATAACATTATATCTTCAAATGTTTTTCTCTGTCATGTTTTTTAACCTCTTCAGTGATGTGTAGACTTAAATAATGTACTCATCTGTGATCTCCCCAACTGCTTCTCCACCATATTTTACATGCTTATAGAGGATGTTCGAGATATAACATGCGTTTGCAACTTGTACAGTTGCATATTCTTAATAAGGGGAAATAATATTATTATATCTTTGTTTAAATCTCATTTGAATGAATATTGTTATTATTATTGTCTGTGCAAAGATAAAGAAACACTTTAGTATTGAAAAAGGTAAAACCCGTATAAATCTTTTGAGCGTATGTTCTTTCCAAATCCTAAAACAGAAAATGGGTCCAGTTGCGTCGGAACCAGGCGTTTGTCATTTTTTGGAGAAGTGCAGTTACTGATATCATCTGGATGCTTAATCATTTGCCTGTCTTTGGATGAAAAAAATATCTTATATCTTCAATAGAAGTTGAGATATTTTCTTTTCAAAGTATGGTATGTATTCATCAGATTCGGCCATAATAAATACTATATTAGTATATTGGTATTCTTACCTAGACGGCAGACGTGGAAAATACAGATCAGGAACAATGGCCCCGTGGAATCCTTTGAAGTCTTCATTGAAATAGGCTAACCTATGATCTGTTTCAATCACTGTGTAGAGTCACAAAGCGCACTACTTTCTTGTCGAACTATTTAAATGAATCACATGGCTCAATTGTGTTCCTGTGGCCACGCTTGTCGAACAGGTCACAAAGCATAGAAGTAAACTTTACCGCGAACTTCTGTAAAGCACGGTCATATTGATTAAAGATTAAACACGTATACACTCCAGCAATGACTTAGGTTCTACTAATCTCGGGACTTGATTAACAATAAACCCAAGTATCTGTTTTATTACGTGTAAGCTTATAGGACAAACTCTCTTCCTTTGAGACAAATCTAGAGAATTACACAGGTCCTTCGGACTTCGGACCGTCTGAAATATGAGGCGCCCTGTGTATGGGGTTCACTTCTGGTCAGCTATAATTACAAGTCTAAATAATAGTTTGGGGCTGCATTAACTGTGGATTAGGCAGACTGCATAATAACAACGTCCGGAGACTGAGTGCTGCGTGTTGTTTTGCCGCAACAACGCGAGGGAACAAGGCGGGTCATTCTAGTCCGGCACGCCTCATTTGGTTGCGAACACACATGAGTGCTGGTTAAGGACTTGAACCAGTGACACAAGGTCAGAAAACCTATTGAATACCATTTAAAGTGGTTGACTGCTCTAAGCAAGGTTAATGACAACTGTCTGCGTCTTTTGTGGCCAAAGTGGTACGGCTTTAAACGCCTCGCCTCCCCTTTCGTCTCCACCCCCGCTGACCCTCCTCTTTCATTCCATTTCTCCTCAACTTTTCTTCTCTCTCTCTATATATATATACAAGCTTTTTTGTCTGTTACACTTCCCCTCAGATACATCCCTACCTCTCTTTTTTCCCTCCCCGTCTTCCCCTTTTTTCCTTTCAACCACCCTCCTCCCGTCTTAATCTGGCCTTTCCCTCCTCCTCACGTATACCCCCTACCACTCTTCCTCTTTCCTCTTCTCTGACTCTTCTGGTAGGCAATCTTGGGGTCCATTTCTATAGATCTTCTTTGGAACTAAGTGAAATTCTTTTATCTGGTCAAAGAGCGGTTCATTCCCACTTTGGTACATTTGGGTTGGGAATTATTTATTTATTAATTAATTTTTAAAATTTTTAATTTTAATTTTTGTTTATTTATTTATTTATTTTTGTTGTTTTGTTTGTTTGTTTTTGGTTGGGGTTTTTGGTTGTTTTTTTTTGGGGGGGGAGGGGGGGTATTCCTGTGTGACAGTAGCTCGCTTCGTGCGCTGACGTTCACACTTCAATATGCCTAGGAATTTTTCAGCCGCAAACCGGTACTGCAAACATTATTAAAATCTAGAATTCGTTGTAGCCTGCAGCAACCAAGTACAGCAATGTCTTCATATTGGCAGGAACATATTTGTTGTAACTTAACCGTAACGGTACCACGGCACGGAAGCAGTGGGAGA